ATTTAAAAAAATATATATATTTTATGTCTTTCATATTTTTTTCATAGTGTTTAACGAGTTTCATGGTGTCATTTAGTGATTTTACAATATTTGTCAAAATCTAATTATGATAGTCTACATAATTTTTTTCTTTTAAAAAAGTTACTTTAAGAAAAAAATTAGCCTAAATTCATTTTTTTAATCTGAGACTAAAATTTTAACCCATAAGGGTTGAAGCAAAAAAACTATTTTTGGGTTAAAACCTAAATTTTATGAGCTAAAAATTGTATGTTTTAACCCAAACATTGTAGATGGTCTAAGGAGAAAAAAATGTTATGATGATATTACTGGACATTGTTTTGACCTTAACTGACAAATTTTGTTCGAGAAGTTGAAAACAGTGTTTAGCTAGATCGATTTTCATTTCCCTCCATAAAATGTGGCATTGAATATTGATTAGGCTGCTTGACTACGTTATAGATCATTTTTAGTGCTTTGAAGTATGCCAAAAATCTGGAATTCGTATTTTACTATATACGAAGGAATTTAAGGTTCTACTATAAATTTAATTGGTTAAATAAGGAGTAATCTAATTTGTTTATAAGTTCATACATAGTCTCTTTAGTAATGTGAGATTTATTCTCAACACTATACGTTACAAATACAAGTCACACATACCCCCGAACGGTCCTCATATTATACCTTCATAACATATAATAAAAAAAACTAATTAAAAAAATCTCATATTATTCTCTATCAATTAATGTTATAGGAGTGAGAATTCTCGCTGAATCCTTTTTGTGACAATTTTGAGAATCTTCAAATTACATCCGTTTATCGTACATCGTGCAATCAGAAATTATTGTAAATTTTTTTATTTAAAATTGAATATAAATAGTACTTGACAAAAACTGACTGCATAATGTATGATAAACAGATGTGATTTGAAAATCCCCGGAATCCTCACAATGAAAATCTAACTAGAATCCTCTCTCATGTTATAGTTCGTGAATATATTATGGTTTATTTTATTTTTTGGTTTCTTGGGTCACTGGTGTCTCCCTTCTGAGGGTGCATTATTATTCAATCAAATATCCATATTATAAAACAAAAATTAATATTATAAGTTGATGAGACCATCTTACAAAAATTATATATTTTAGTTAGAACACATAATAAAAAATAATCTGCAATGATCTCTTCGTAATTTAGTTATTCTTAAGGAATACATGATCAATCACTTTTAAATTTATTATTAAAAATTAAAATTAAAATCTTCAGGTAAATGATCATAATTTTTTAATTACCAAGCAACTAGAAAATCAACACATAAGCTCCTAAATTTGATTGTATTTCTTTTGTTCATGTTTTTACATAAGATAGATTTGTGGCAGATAAATTAACAGATTTAGAGTATAAGCATCTTCGAATCGTGTTTGGCTTAATTTTATCGGAATTTTAACGAAAAACTTCCGGTACTGTTCATTTTAACGAAAAATCATATTTTTACATTAAAAAATCAATCCTAATACTATTCACTTTACCCTTTATTTTATCTTTATTATTAAAACTCAAAGTTTTCAAACTTTTTTTTATTAATTTTCCTTAATTTTATTCCTTTAACACTTTAATAACTTTTGTATTGGCGCTTTTCTATTTTATTTTATCTTAAAAAACAAACAAACCATATATATCATCATCTTGGTATAGGCTAGCTACGTAGCCTCCACCTCCTCTATGTTGACCCACAAGGAATAAACCACGCGGTGACAAGAAAAGCAGCCCTCGCATATATAAACAAACACAAACATCCAAACAAAGAACCATTGTTTCCAAAAAAAAACAAAGAACCATTGTTTCCAAAAAAAAACAAAGAACCATAAGAAAATATCATCCCACTGAACCCAAAGTCCCCTCTCTCAACCTTTTTTATTTGGGATAACTGAATTTGTAGATAAAATTTCATAAATTAAATAATATAGAAGTTAATAATTGAATCATTACTTATACGTTGATAAACGTATTTGTTCATATTAATGACTCATTATTTACTTTGTAAATTTTATTTACAAATTTAATTTCTTAACATTATCGTTTTTATTTATTATTTTCCACACAGCCTGCTTTTCTAGAAGAGCAAGTAAATTCAAGAATACTGTCACACAGTCCTATTTTCTTACGTGACTTTCCGTCTGACTGGTTCTCCTTTAAACCTTTTATTTATTTTTTATTTATAATCCACTATTTTTCTAATTTCTTTTGTGGCCTTCCATCTAGAAGCCATCCCTATCAAAAGTTCAAAACTTACCCCACAAAAGGCTCAAAGAATCCCAATTTAATATAAGAATATGCTCACTTGTGATCCTCTTGTATATATTTGGGTACTTCTGGCTCTCTCTCTTCACAAACTACAACAAACTTAGCTCAGTAGATAACTGTTCGACGTCCCAAAAAATGGTTGCCCTAGAAACCCAGCAAAACCCAGCACCTCTAGGAGAAAAGGAAGAACAATTCCAAAACCAAGATCCCTACGAAGCTGAGGAAACCCTATCTTTGTGCGATCTCCCCACACACAGTGACTCAGCTCATTGTGATGACTTCTCCAAAGACTACCAAAGCTCTTCGTTCGACCGCGACGAAGACAACTTCTTTGAGTTCTTCAGCGAGGATTTCACCGCCTCGACGTACCCAGCAGAGAAGGACATAATCTTTTGTGGAAAACTCATACCCTACAACAAAGAAGCACCAAACTTTGCAGCAGAGAAAGGTCATCAGAAGATCAAGAGCGAAGAAACCGGAAGCAACGCGAGAAGCGTCAACTTTTCGAAGAAGAAAGGATTTTTTAGGTCGTGGAGGTCTTACCCCTTCCACAGGGTAACCAAACCCTCCAAAACGGCCAAGATTTCGAAGCCGGAAAGTCCCACACCGACAAGTTACCGAAAGTGTGAGGTGAATAAAGTGTCTATACTTTCCAAAACGCCGTCGAAGTCTAAGTGGTATGTCATGATGTTTCAAATGGCGAGGTTTCCGTCGGAGATGGAGCTGAAAGACATAAAAAACCGGCAGAGCCGAAGGAGCCCTTCGACAATGTTTAGGTCCTTTGATGAAGAGAGTGATGAGATGGCCGGGGCTAAGGGTAATAAGGGAATTAAAAGTGATGGTAATAGTAGGCCAAGGTGGTTGTGGGGGCTGTTGAGGGCGGCGGTGGTGTGCGGCAGCCCACATGCAGACGCCGTTGTAAAGCAAGGCCTTCTTTATTAGCTGGTGTCACTTTAATTCGAGTTGCCGAATTTAGAAGCTTGATTGGTGCTCAGCTCACACGTGTGGGATTTCTTAGGTAGCCCAGATTGACCTTGCAATCTTAATTTGTGGCAGTGATGTAGGGACATGGTTTTTGGGATGTTCATTGTACTATACACATGGGGAGGATAGGAGAATATTATGAGGAAGCATATATAAGATAGTGACTTATATAATCAACCACATTTTTGCAATATTAGAATCCTACATTTTGTAATTTTATTTTTTTTGTAATTGGATGAATAAATATGACTAATTGGAACCCCATAACTAAGTTTTTGCAATATTAGAATCCTACATTTTGTAATTTTATTTTTTTTTGTAATTGGATGAATAAATATGACTAATTGGAACCCCATAACTAAGAGTATGATTAACATTACATTTGTTTTGTTGTCTAACAATGGAGATTGAGTAGGAGACTTAGATCAGGGCAGTGTGTTCGCCCTCTCGAACTCAAGTTTTGAATACCAAATTTTTACGAATTAGAGTAGTTTATAATATGGTATTGTTACAAAATTGGTGATTGACATAATCCGGCTGAAATACTTGATCCGAGGGTCATACTATCTGATGCAATATCGTGGGTTCTCTTCATTCATCTTCTCGAGCAAACGAATATAGGGCTGAAGTACTTGTTCCGGACAAATCGAGGATCTCGTCGAAGCTTTAGTCCCGCTGCATGCTCTGAGCGCTGAAACGAGGTTTCGCCCCAGCCAGGCGGTTATGAAGAATCGAACCCAGACATTAAACAAAGAATTCCAAAGTCTTAGCCACCGAACCAACATCTCATAGTGCCAAAGACAAAATCGTGATCGACCAATGGTTCTAAAAAACGCTAGTCAGCCGGCTGGCTTGAGCCTAGCACTTAGGCGGTGGCCTATGAAGATTAGGCGGATTTAAGGAAATTTATTATACATCGTATAAATAAGTTCTTATTTGTACTTAAAAAAGATACATATTGTATTGGGAGACATAAATTGCAAAATAAAATGAACTATAAATTGTAAAGTATTAAAATATATTGAGAACATAAGGAACAAGCATATAATGAGTGTTCATTTGAGTATTCAACAAAGTCTCTTACATTTTATTGAAAAAATAAAATGCAAAATGAAAGCTATCAATTTTTTGTACAAGTGAGAGTCGCAACCTAAGCAGGTTACGTGACGCCTAAGCAAGTCTAGGCGCCCTTTCTTAATTTTCAAACGCCTAGAAATTAATCGAGATAGTAGCCAACCGCCTACTGCCTAAATGGAGTCTAGGCAGCGCTAGGTTAGAATTTTTAGAACAATGCCTTGTACCTCTATATAAACAGAGATGAAGGAAATAACAATGCGTCTTGATAATTTTTTCTCTTGTTCCATAGCTTGATTGAAGGATCTGGCTCTAAGTTAATACTTTAAAAACAGACTTGATGCCCTTAATTTAAAATTAAACAATATCTGCAAATGTGTGCCTAAATACACATAAATACTTGATTTATTATAATAATCTCATAACAATTATGTACCACAGATTGGTAGTGGTATTTCCTATCGGCGTATAATTTATTTATGCCAAGTGCCGGCCTTCTTTTCCTTTTCTACTTTGATTTTTTATAGAACCAAAGGCTGCAAGGCAATACATACATACATACATACATATACGAACTTAAGACATCGTCCAACATTTGGCATTCGGAAGAAAAACACCTCTTTTAAAAGCAATAGAAAAAGATATAACAAGAAATGTTTTCTCATCAGTAATGGGAGTTCACCTCTGCATGCATGTTGAACAAAACTTTCCTTATAACATTACAGGCAAAGCAACAGCCTACATGTCTTTGTTGATATAGGGAACACTGACCTAATATGTCTGTTCTGCAATAAGATATCTAGAAGCTTAAATGAGTACATCAAAACTGGAAATGATTACCAAAAGGATCAAAATTTGCTCGGCGAATCTGATGAGGGTTCACGAATTCGTCATTTCAGAACGATTTACGATTCAGACTTTTCTTCTCTCCTCATCTTTCCTTGTCTGCCACCATTTATAGACGCATTGGCTTTTCTTTTCGCCGAATGTTTACCATTGGCACCTGCCTTGTCATTTTGAGGCTGCCTTCTTTTCTTTCCTTGGCTGCCGCCATTAGTAGACGCGTTGGCTTTTCTTTTCTCCGAGTGTTTACCATTGGCACCTTCAGTGACCTTGTCATTTTGAGGCCGCTTTGTTTTCTTTTGTGTTTTCTTGTTGATTTTCTCCGCTTCGGAGAACTGCATCAAGTACCACAACAGGAATTAAAATTTAATGAGTTTGCTAGGAAAAGGTTGATTCTGACTGCCTTTACACCTAAAATGTCATCGTGCAATAGCTAAACCACCCCCATAGTTAACATTCAAGGTGCCATACCTAGTCAATCGAAAACAGTAAGAACGCAAAAATAAGGTTCAGTATGTTGCACCTTTTCAAATAGAGCCAAATCTCTGGAAGTAGCCTTGTCGATGATGCTTTTATAATATTGTGCAAACGGAGTATTGCCACTGTGCTTTTCTAGCTGCATATTGACCATTTAACATATAAAAACAAGTTGCATTCGTCAAAGTCAAAAAAATAATGACCATAATGGCTGCAAACCTGGAGAAATGATTCTACAGATTGTTGATCTTTTGGTGAAAAAGGCACCTCATCTCTCTTCTTCCGCACAAATTCAATGTTTTGCTCCACCTGCAGTGCAAGCAACAGAACCTTTTTGTCACATCACAAAGATAATTCCTAAACACATTAACTTGACTGCCAGCCATGGAGGCTGAGGAAGCAGCTTATTAACAATGTTGGGGAGTTTGCAAAGGCCAACAAAGGAACCATTACTGTGTCACTGTCTCAGACATTATTTTTCATATGATAGTTTTATTTGAATTTGCATCACAAAAACCGAGGAAATTATGATTTTTTTTACGATGGATGCCCCAGACACACAATAATATTAGTACATCCTGCATTTAAAGACAGCCCAAATAGTGGGAGTCCAAAGGGTTCCCATTTTTATTGAGGTCCGACCTTCAAGCAAATTTTCTACTCAAGACGATGCAAGGAAAAGAGACCTATGTCTCCGAGTGTCCCTATATCTGGAAAATAAATTCGTTTTCAAGGAGACAGATGCAAGTAAAAGACTAAATCTTCTATGAGGCTGTACCTGATCAATAAAGCGCTTCACTATACGCTTGAAACTCTCTATAGTAGTTATCTCATGGAACTTCCTCAAGCGAACGAGGGGAATAGTCGCCAGATCAGGAAAAGAAATATGATAGCTCCACTGAGAAAAATGTGCTGAAAGCAGCTCGAGAACAGATACAACACACTGTTCTTGAAAGTTCCTTGATTTTAACCAATTCTTTGGAAACTGCACCAAAAATATGTACCAACAATAATAAATCAAAAGAGCAGACTGCATAACTCAATTGTAAACACACTTTTCTATCGGTAAAGTTACGAATTCCTAACCTTTACAGAACACATCATATTGGTGTCTTTTCCAGGTTTACCAACATCCTTGCCAATTTTATATTCCAAAATATCCACCACTAAAGAGGCAATAGGAATAAAAATTCCTGAGGAAGATGAGAGCTGATTCAACCATTGAATGCATTTGACTCTTAAAGGCAAATATCTAGGTCCAGAAAACAAGACAGCCACTCCGTTTATAATCTGAATGATCATAAAGAGCAACGGCTGAAGATCATAATCAGGTATGTTAGCTGATATAAACATAACCCATAGATCAATGCAATTTGTGTATTGCCAACTGCATATCTTCTTGACAGCTTCCTGGCCATAGAAAATCAGGGAGAACTTCAGTAAGTATCATTGGTACATCCGAAATACCGGAAATTCTTATAAACTACACTCTCACACACATAAACAAATAACTTGAAAGAGGAAAAAGCTCAAATTTCAGAATTTAATTAAACAAGCACCAATAGGATTGAATTAGTAACAACACCTTCTTCTTTGTCAGCAGACCCTGCTTCAGTATTTTAGAAAGTTGCTTTATGGACACCATTGCTTTACTAGATGCTTTCTGCAGATCCACAGAGCATAGCTCAACAAAGGAGTTTCTTAGAAACTGTACGTGTTGAAATAGAACAGGCTCCATAAATTGGCAATGACCAATAAATGATTTATATGTGTTAATAAAGCAGGTGTCAAAGCAATCAGAGCGAAAAACAGAAGCCACATCGCGTATGATGAAAAAGGATAGAGATGATATAGTTCCTTTCCCTGTTGCCCACAGATGAACAGCAATCTGCAGTTTCAAATAGTAGTGTTAAGCATGAGTTGCACGACCTATATAGTAATTAGTAAGTAAACAAGCACGATGATGGATAAAGCATCTGTATACAGAATGATTTGGTGATTTATATAGATAAATTGAGTTTGAACTTTTTTTTTCATTCATTTAGAAATACCTTGATAAGTCTGCGGAGCAAAGAAGGGAAAGCAACAAAAAATGTCAACTGAAGCTCTGATCCGTGCTAAGGAGAAGGCCAATATCTCAGATTCATTAACCTCATTCAGCAGTAAAAGGGTACTCCTCAAATATGATTTTATCAATGGCTTAAGAGTATTCCATTTTGAATTCTTGCTTAAGTCCAAACTCTTCTCTTTCTTGGATTGGAGCTTGATATGCCCATTAGCCCCCTAAATATATTATCAGCCTCATTAAGCATGAACATTAATATCTTGCAAAAGGTTTCACTGTTCTGAATTCCACAACAAGAATCAGCATCAAAGACCCTGGTTGATTCAGCTCCATAGTGGCATGCAGCACGGTACCCATTTAATAGACTGGTAAGCGCAGGCACACTTTGGTGCTCTTTGACTAGTTGACACAAAGAATCAATGGCAGAGCTGGTCAACAACTTGCTACCGTGAGTGTTAACACCATCCACATTCTCTGGCTGCATATCATCCTCGCTCATCTCATCCTCATCGGCATACTGCAACATGCACGTGCATAATCAGGAGAAAGAAGAGACATCAAACAGCCAATCCTGCAATATAAAACACAAATGTACTGCTCCAAACAAAACTCAAAAACTGAAGCTAAACTTCACAATAGATATAACTTGCCTTTGTGTTTCTGAACTGTTCAGATCGCTTATGATAGCCATCAAGAAAGTTAGAAAAATCTGGGTCCTGAAAATTTTCCAAGCAAACACGATCATTAAAAAGAAAATGAAACAATTTGATGGGAGGTGGAGAAAGATAGTCAGTAGGTTGAGCAAAATGCGGTGGTAATTGGTAAAAGAAACAATCTTCTTAAAAGCATGAACTTTGAAGTAATAACCATGACCATTACCTTTTCCTTCAATTTGTCTAATTTTTTCGTTTTCTTCACAAGTTCAAGTTGAATTTCCCTGTTCTGCACAGATAAATCACTACCACTACTGCCAAAATTTCCTGCATATAAATGTCATAAAAATGTAAAGGGAGAGGAGAAGAGAAGAAAAATTAATATCGGAATGATACCAAATCAACAGATGGCAATAATGACCTCACCTTCTTGTGAATTCTCAGTTTCACCATGAGATAGATGCAGATCACTTGATTCCTAATCATACATTGAAAGAAAATAAAAATTCAATCAAAAAAAATATCCCAGTAAAGTGACTGAAGCTAAGAAGAGTTCCCAGGAAAATGTACTTTCAATACCTCTGAAAGATACCCATCACTGTCTGAATCATCTCCAAACACATCATTCTCATCTTCACTAAATATTGCATCAAGAGGAGTGTCTTCTATGTATTCTCCTTCAGTATTTCTGAGAACAAGTTTTTCAAATTAGCATTTCCGTGATGATGGTATAACACTACAATGCAGTTAAGGTAAACTACAAAATGAAAGTACATAGTGAAACTGAAAAACGCATTGGCTTCATTTGTTTCAACGGAAAACAGTTCAACAGGAAAGTTTTCTGGATGCAAAATATCCTGATGCTTATTTGACATGCAAAACATTTCATGGGAAACATTTCCTTAGTTTTTCTTCTTCTTCTTCAGGAAATGCCATCTTCGAGGAAGAAAAGTTTTCTGGCGCTTAGGTTAGAATGTTGGATTGAAGCCTTGAAATCAAGAAAAACATTCTCTGATTTTCCATTTTCCCTCAATGTTTGACATATATCTATTATTTTTCTGGAAAACGTGGTCTCCAAAGCTCAATCCTCCTAACGGAAAATGCTAAACGGCAGAAAAATAAAAACTAAAAAAAGAAGCGAAGAAGATACAAGTAGTATAAAGAATGGCATTCAAAAAGTATATGTTCTAAACCCTGAAATGCTAAAAATGCCCCTCCTCGTACCTTGCATTAGACAACTCTACTGCGTCCTTTTTCTGTTCTTTACCGCCATCTTCTTTCCCACCTTCTGCAACAATTGAATTAACATATTTCCACAAACAGAAATCAGAGAAGCGAGAAACAATCTCCAAATACAAAGAAATCACAAAAAACAATTAAAACCCACAAAATTAAAGAAAACCCAAAACTCCACGCATTCAAAAACTAAAACTTTCACAAATCACAATACACACGCCATATCCCACATAAAATACACAAATTATAAACAAAATGTAACAACAACCCAAGCAAGAACACACCAAAAGAAGCAAGTTCCAAAATTTTATTTATTTTCTACTCAACCCAAGTTTCAAGCTTTTAATCAGTAGGCCACATGGGTTTGTTGTAGTTGTAGAATATATATCTATATATATACATACAGTTAGAGAGAGAGAGAGAGAGAGAGAGAGAGCATACTCTTGGAAGTTCTCCTTTTGTTGAACTTGGAATTCAACTTGCGATTTTTTCTGAGAACGGACTGGAGATTCTTCTTCGAGAACTTCCTTGCCTTCTTCCCCAGCTTGCCCATGGCTCTCTCCCTCTCTCTCTCTCTCTATCTCTCTCTCTCTCTCTCTCTCTCTCTCTCTCTCTCTCGTCAGCCTGCAATGGAGGAAGGAAGCTGCGTCGTCGTTTTTCGTTAGGCGCCTCAAACCGGCGCAGGGTACGAGCTTCCCTTCGTTTAACCTGATTTCGGCTTCCCCACACCCTCAACCCCAAAACGCTGTCGTTCTGTTGAGCTGAATGTCCGAGACCGGCCCGTTAAAAAAGGCTTACACCTTGGGCTGAGGCCTGCTTTAACTCGCCCAAGAAAATGTGGGCCTACCTTAAGATTGTGGCCCTTTGGGTGGCTTGAGTATTGGAATTTTATTGACTCTTGATTTTTCGTGTGTTTACTAACACATATAAAATAAAAAATTGTGTGAATTACGTGTAAAATTTGTAATCGAATCTCTGAAAATTCAGGAATTAAATCAACTAGATGGTTATTTGAACATTCCTTTTGCTACCCTAATTTATGATCCAATCCTTTAGAACAAGTGGAATTCGATTTTGGAATTAAGCACTTCCTTTTGATTATGTGTCATTGCCCTCCTTTTGGTATTACCTCGGTAAAACGGGTGAAAGTGCTCAAAGTTCATCGGTAACGCATTTATACGTGAAAATGTTACTCATCTCAACTTTTTTTCCAACCTATGTGACACATCGTATGCACACCACATTATTGCATTTAAAATTTAACAGAAAATGCCATCTAAGTTGGAAATAAAGAAGTTTGTCAGTTGACAAATGTGGTGGTTAAATTGTCAGTTGAAAGCTCCAACTAATTAAATCAATTGAAATATCACAAAGTCATATCACTCGAGCGGAGTGACGAACACTCAACGTGCACTCCAAATTCAGACTTTCATAATTTGGCAAAGATAAAAATTAAGGGAGTTAACGAAACACTTTCAGTACTGTTTATTTTTCCTTAAAAATTAAGCCTCATGACTCATGCCACACGTGTCAATGTTGAAAACAAGTTTATTCCAAGCTTCCAACTTTTTTGTACAAATTGATATTAGGAGAAACTGATTGGAACAGAACACAAAATCTCAATGCTGCAAATTCTCAATGCATGAGTAAATGTTTTAGTCACTTAAATACAGAATCTTAATACATGAATAAATACTCTTCGTCACTTAAACACAACAATTTGGAATCTAAAATAGCGCAATAATCAACTTTTATATACACCAGGTGGATACTGATCATGTGACTATTAGGGGACGAATGTGTGAGGGCATTATATACAATTTCCAGTGGCCAGCATTCATTTCTCCTACAACGAAGCACAACTTGCATAGTACGAATACATCGTCACGTGCCATTCAGTATCAATGAAACAAAGAAATATGAACAAAAACTTACACACGTCATTGTTTTATGGGGAAAACAACTATGTCAGATTTTATATAAAGAAAATTTCATTTTTTAGGGGATAATTCATATTTTCAATTATTTTTAGAGAATAAAAGTTAGAGGTGTATTCGTGTCATACAAGTCATTCTCCTACTACAAATGTACAAGTTTGTAAATAATTTAATAAGGTGCAGCATTAATGGTTCCACCAAATGATGCACTCATCTCTTTAAGGGGTGTGATATCCACACACCCTTTTTACTCCTCACACACCCCTTATTGATTTTTGTAATTTAATCTTCTTCAATTCATTCGATTCGACGCCCGGAAATTAAGAAGATGTCTGAGAAGTGAAAATGGGTGTGTGGATAACATACCCCTCTCTTAAAATTCTATGTAGTGGTGGCCTCACCAAGTGACAAGTGGCTACCAACCCTTTATATAAAGAAACTTTAACCTAAAACGGATAATGTAGGGCACAACTGCTAGGGTTTCTCCGGACACTATGTTATATGCAACTAAAGACTGCACAAGGTTAGTCTTCTTTTTCTTTTTTCTTGTTTTATGTATTAACTATCATACATACGTAAGTTTCAGAAAGTGACTTTCATTTGTTATAAAGGGAAATAATTAATTTAATTAATTAGATCACCTAATCACTAAACCAGCCTCGTAGTTCTTTAACCACGTCAATTTTCAGAGTTTGGACTATCAATAAGTTGAGTGGTAGTTAAGATTTAGAACAATTTATTTATCCACCTCTCATAATCTATATGGTTAAAGCATGTATGAATTGTAATAGTCTAATACAAAGTTTGTAATCATTTCATAAATACGAGCCCTTATACTTTTACAATCGAAGAAAGTTTTAAACTTGGCATGCAAGTTACACAAATTTTAGACCAACTTGCTATTTTTTCTTCACACTAACCATTTCATCAGCTTAAAATTTGTGCTTTGCATGATTTTTGAGTGAAATCACATCGTTTGCTTGTAAAACAAGCAACCCTTTTTCTTTTTATCCACGAAATTAACAAATGATCAAAATTTAGTTCAATTCGTGAGGCATGCCTTGTTTGGAGGAAAGCACAGGCGTTGCTGTGGTTCAAGTTGCAGCAGATCGGAACGATGGCTGTATCCCGAAAAAATCCTCAAAAACTGCTAAAGATAAAGACAGCGAATTTGTCGTTGTCTAATGTTGTCTTTTGATTCTTGCTAAAATAGAAACCCCGATCTGTCGGCCCCTCCGAATTCTCCCTTAACCACCTCCTCCGTTCCTTCTGCTCCTCTGCAACTTGTTCTGTTTTTCCGAACGTTGAAGCTTTCCTCACCAAAGATCGGTCACACGCCCCTCTCTCTCTCTCCTCCCCACTCTCTCTCTCTCTCCCTCTCTCTCTCGCCCCCCCATTCATAAACTCCTTTGGGCATTTTCTGTTTTTTTCTTTTTTTCAGGGGAGAGGAAGTTCCCAAAAACTCACAGAAATCTGGGAATTTTCGAGCAGAGGTACTGAAAGTTGTCCTTTTTTTTTGTTTTGGCCTGTGTTTTTCTCATACATTTGCCCTACTATTTACTTGTGGGTTCTGTCATTTTGTCACTCTCTCTCTCCTCTCTTTCTCTCTCTAAGTTGCTGCAGGTAGGATATTTGATTTGGGTTCTATGGATTTTGTGAAAATCTTGCAGTTTTGGAATCTGGGTTTTGGTCCATTTATTGTTTGCATTAATGGACAACCGAAAGTTCGCATCTTTATCTGTTGGGTTGGCAGTTTTTTATCTTCTTCTTATTGTCTGTTCTTTACCCTTTGTAATTAGGTTTAGGAAGTTATTAATCGTGTTCACCGGGTGACATTATAGATCTCTGTGTATTTATGACATAGATTTCCTACCAAAAAGTCAGAATCTTGAAGGTTGAACTTTGACTTTCAAGTTTCAACTTTCCTTGTCCACTGTTCCTTTTGAATTTCTGGGTTATTTGAATTTTATGCATTGAGAAATTTCATGACGTCTCTTGTTTATTGTATTGTATGTATCTGAAATTTCATAAATTTGTGTTTTTTTTGGCAGCATGCTTTGCTAGGAAATGGGGAGGAAAGGGAGTTGGTTTTCTACACTCAAGAAAGCCCTCACCCTTGATCCAAGGAAAATAAAGATCAGGTTTGCTTAACTGGTTTAATTTGATCTTACATCGTTGTTGTATCGAAAACTAATACGAGTTTCTGATCTGAACAATTGTACTTTCATGCCAGAAGACTCACAAGTCAAAGAAATGGTTTGGGAAGTACAAGAACGAGGATGCGGTATCTTCCTGCGAAGAAACCGCATTGGTTAACCCTGCCCCCGCCCCTGCTCCTGCCCCCGTTAGTACCCCTACCCACCCTCCACCTCTGACCCCGCCTCCAAAAGAAGATGTCGAGTTAGCTGAGGCTGAGAATGCACAGAACAAACATGCTTACTCTGTGGCACTTGCCACTGCCGTGGCTGCAGAGGCAGCTGTGGCTGCTGTTCAGGCTGCCGCAGAGGTTGTTCGCCTTACAGCTGTGCCCATGCCCCGTTACACTGGAAAGTCGATGCTGGAGGCTGCAGCTATCAAGATTCAGACTGCTTTCCGAGGGCACTTGGTCTGTTTTATTTGGCTACATTGTTCTATAGTCCTATTCGTTTCATTAAGATGTTTGATTTGTGATAAAATGCAAAAGTATGTCAGTTTTTTTCTTCTAGTTCTGTTGAATCAGTTGAACGGTTGGTTGTTCAATTTTAGTGATCACATTTCAAGGCCAACTTCTTATGGATAAGGGGATGCTGACAGCAGTTTAGAATTATGTTTAATTTAGTAAAGCAGTAAATAACAATCTGTAACAATAGCTTCGATATAACCATTATTCGGCGATGAGCTGTATGCGTTAGATGAGGTTGTGCTGCGATTTGTGATTTCAGGCAAGAAGGGCGTTACGAGCTTTGAGGGGGTTGGTGAGGTTGAAATCATTGATAGAGGGCCAATCTGTTAAACGACAAGCAACTACCACATTAAGATGCATGCAGACTGTTGCTCATGTGCAGTCTCAGATTCGCGCAAGGAGGATTAGAATGTCTGAGGAGAATCAGGCACTTCAGCGACAGATCCAACAGAAACAAGAGAAAGAGCTTGAGAAACTCAAAGCTTCTGTAAGTTCCCTGATATATTATGCGCACTTGCATCTTCTGTTCTCTGAGTTCAATCTTCGATTTGCTTCATCCTCTAGTTTTATATTTATTTCAGGCTTTAGTCTTCGTTTTTGTGATATAATAAGCTCGTTGTGACAGATGGGAGAAGATTGGAATGATAGCACAGAATCGAAGGAGCAGGTCGAGGCAAAGCTACAAATGAAACAAGAGGCTGCTATTAGACGAGAAAGGGCGTTGGCCTATTCATTCTCTCACCAGGTAGCTTACTTTTTGCTTTTGAATTTTTTTACAGGATTACAGGAAGTCTATCGTCGGCGATTTTGAAATCCGATTTGAGATTATGCTGTGATGAATCTCATTATTCTTTTTAACATATTGATCAATCTTCTAACTTAAACTGACCCAATAAATCTACTTAACAGAAAATGTGGAAGAACTCTCCGAAATCTGAACACCCGACCTTTATGGACCCCAGCAATCCCCACTGGGGTTGGAGTTGGTTGGAGCGATGGATGGCTGCAAGGCCATGGGAGAGCCGAAGTACAGCAGACTTCAATGACCGGGCCTCCATGAGGAGTGCTGCAAGCCGTGCCTCCATGTCTGTGGGGGAAATCACCAAAGCTTATGCTCTTCGTGATAAGCCTTCTCCTAGGACCCCTACTGTCCTAAGATCAAACAGACCTTCGAGTCGCCAATCCCCTTCAACTCCTCTCTCCAAAGCACCATTGTCCGCATCAGTAACCAGGAGAAACCCAAGAGGAAATGGTCGGGGTGGAGATGAGGACTCCAGGAGAACGCTAAGCATCCAGTCAGAACGCTTCAACAGGAGGCATAGCATGGCAGGATTTTCCGTCAGAGCTGACGAGAGCCTTGCAAGCTCGCTTCAGTTCAAAATTACAGGACACCCACGAAACCAACAAAGGCCAGGTCGAGGTTGGCAACCCTAAACTCAAACCAGTCAGAGAAGAACGGAACACCATCAGAGAAAGGATCAGTGACGTCTGTAAAGAAGCAGCTGTCATTCTCTGCTTCCCCGGCTGGACCAAGGAGGCACTCCGGTCCTCTTAGGTATGATTCTAGCTCCATTAAAGGCACTCCAGTGCACGCGAGGAAAGGCAGCAGGTAGCTAGTGATCAGTCTAGTGAAGAGAGAGAGAGTGTGCATGTAAAATAAAAGCAAGCATGTAACTTAGGTAGATGTTGCTGAGTTGAAGAAGATTGAATAAAAGATTGGCCAGCCTTGTTAGAGGGTGGAGGAGGAAGAGAAGAGACCAGAAAAATCGATCGGTTTGTGATTTTCGTGTCTGTTTCAGTTGTCGCCATGATTAATATCAACACCTGTTTTCTTCTTCATCTCAATAAACTTTGTGTCGTCGTGTTTCGAGACTGTTACATATAATGTTGTAGCACATGAGGATTGGTTTGGGGGTTGAACGTTAGTTCATGGTAGCAGAAATATTGTTTCCTTAGTTGTCTGCAGATTGCTGTGGTTTTTGATATCTTTTGACTCCTCAGTTGCTTGATTTTTCAGTTGATCAGGTTAATTTGTTTCTTTCTATAGATAGCGTTGATCTTGCCCTTTTCTTTTTGCTACTTCTCTAAGATTCATCAATCCAACCATGAATCTCGTCGGATCGGAGCTTTTACCTCCTCGGGGTTTTTTCTTTCGGAGAAAAGCTTCGGTTGAAAGTTTCGTGTAATAAGACAGGTTTGAGAAAATTCCTAATATGTAAACCCAATTAAATCGTCATATTCTGGTGACAAGGAGAACATTTTGCCCAATCAAAACTTTTTATAACTTAACATGTAGGATGCGGGTGTGTAGTTTTGAAAACGTACTCCAAAGTTAAGTTTGTTCAAAACGTAATACAGTTTGGTGATATTCTTTTTTACTTGTAAGTGAGAAGTTTTAGGTTTGAATATCGTAGACGACGAATTTAGTACCAAATTAGATTGCACATTATGTGACTTAATCAAATTCTCCCCTCCCCCTTTAGTGTAAAATATATTATTGTACTAAAAAAAATTATTTCAAAATTGTGTCTGTTATTATAGGAGAGGGATGCTCTCCGAATCCCTTTCTCCTAATCCGTCAAATCAGGAGATCCGGACTATTGAAATTTGATCCAATAGCTGAAGTTATTATAACTTTTAAAATGGGCCCCTGTTTGTACATGTTGGATCAATTTTCAATGGTCTGGATTCCCTGATTTTGGTATATTAGGAGGAAAGGATTTGGAGATGATCCCTTTTCGTGAAGAGGATTTCCGTTATTATAAGCCTGTTTAAAATTTATTTGATAAAGGCATTATAATAATATAAAGTTCTATTGACTAGAAACACTTGGAATTTTTTAAATACATGTACAAAAAAGAAAAAAAAGAACTGGATTCCCAGGAAGCTGAGCCTCTAGAGCAAAGAATCCAAGCTTTTGAAATTTAATACAACGGTTACAATTATTATAACTTTTAGAGAGTTCCCATATTTGTAACCGTTAAATCAAATTTCAACGGTCCGAATCCTTTCCTCAGCCTGACAAGCTCAGGAAACGATCCGGTTCCCAAAAAACACACCTAATGTAAACACTTTTCACCAAGAAGTACTTTGTACAAAAGCAGTCCAAACGAGCTTACTGGGTGCAACCCCTTAATACTTTGACGAAAATGGGCCTAGACAATCCGAACTTGTCCAGTGGGCCGTCGTCGTATAAATGGCGGTTACACGTGGCTATATGATAGTACCCAAAACTTAATTGGACGAATGAGAATTTGGGAATAAGGGATTAGGGATAAAAACATGTTGGGCAGAGAGCACACAGTATCTTCTTCCCCAACTCACAACCAGCTTCGAGAAGCCTCTGAATGAAAGACAGGCCCCAAATTCTCAGCTCAGTCACGATACATTCCACGATATGGTGAGAAAAATCTCGTATTCCGAGCCGCATCTTTTGTTTTTTCACTCTCCATTTCTATTCCCAAGTTCAAATTTTAATGTGATTTTGGTCACTAGGGTTCGTAAAGTTTTAAGTTTTGTTGAAATTTTGAATATTGGTTGTTTGCATTGGATTGGGGTTTGCTTAAAATTTGTGGGTTTGCATTGAATAGATTGGTACAGCAGAATATCTACTAAATTTGATTTGTTTTATTAGCTTCATGCTGCATACACATATACATACATCCATATATACATATATCTAGATATATATATATATATATATATATATATTTTGTATTGGGAGTTTTAGAACAAAAGGATTGTATTGGCCACATGGAGAAAACTGGATAATGGGTTAATCTTAGGAATAAAATGATTAAGGAACTTCTTCAGGTTCGCTAATCAAATTATTTTATCAAATCTTGATGAAATCTCCACATTTTGATTCGATATGCATTCCTTCCAGTTGTCTGGTCATTATTGGATGTTTTCGTCTCTAATTAGCGGCATCCTGATCTGTTAGAAACCTGTGCACATTCCGGTATGTTTAAATTTGACTTTAAGATGGCAGGACCGTTATGTCAAATAATTTCATGCCCTGTATGCATTTGATTCGATATATCTGTCTCGCACGCATATATTGTTTCAAACTATTGTTTTTCATATTCACAGGTCAGGACTGTGTGGTTAGTGCCTTCATTTGATTGTCCAAGTGAGATTTTTCCGTCTAGGATTTGGCTCCCTGTGTGTGTGACTGTTAGATGATGGTGCCTTTCTGCATTGAACTATGTAGATGATGTAATGTTATTCCAAAAACTAGTGGGAATGCACCTTTGTCATGACGTTGGGCAAATGGCGCTTGGAATATTGGAGGGGAACTAAGTCGGAAGGAGTTTTATCAGATTAAGAATGCCATTGAGATTTAGTTCAGAAAGATCGTAGAATTAAAATGATAAATTGCAATTCTGTAGAATTAATGAAATTTTAGATGTACTTCAGGCTACACCATTTTTGGCTGGTCTTGCAGTAGCTGCTACTGCCCTTGCTGGTAGATATGGTATCCAGGCTTGGCATGCGTTCAAGACACGACCACCAAAAGCTAGAATGCGGAAATTTTATGAAGGTGGCTTCCAGCCGACAATGACAAAGAGGGAAGCAGCTCTTATTCTCGGTGTCAGGTAAGCAGATTTTATAATGTCGAATATAGAATCTTTTCCTAGCTTAACCATTGCTGTTTATTTATCCACAGTCAAGGAAACTGAAAGGAATATTCCATCAAATTATAACAAAAGATGTTTTTTGGAGATCAAAATATTAGGTGCTATTCTGTTTCATCATTTGGCAAGTCTCGATTTCAACCAAACATTAAAACAGAAAATTGATTATCTTGTCGAATCAATGACCTTGTAATTGACTTGATTCTAGGATATATGTAGTTATCCGAACCAAGTCAAACCCTAAAAGAATAGAGATAGAAAAGATTCGAGAGTGATGCTTGACACTTTAATGTTGAAGTTGTGGTCGTGTTGTCTTCTCCTATGTTTTTAAGCGAAATTGATTTTCGTTCTTATGGTTTGACAGGGAAAGTGCAGCTGCAGACAAGGTCAAGGAAGCACATAGAAAGGTGATGGTTGCGAACCATCCTGATGCAGGCGGCAGTCATTACCTTGCTTCCAAAATCAACGAAGCCAAAGATGTGATGCTCGGGAAGACAAAGGGCAGCGGATCAGCATTTTAACGCATTTGAAAATACCTCGACTTCAAGTAGCGTGCTAATCAGTAAAATAATCCCCCTTCACTAAGTTGTTTTGCTGGAATGTGCGATTTTGAGAAACATAGGAATTCCGTTGCACCTGTCTGTGTAGGTTCAAATTTATGTTAAAATTAATTGTATTCAAGTTTGTGATATTGAATGCCATAAAAAGGGGGGAAAAGGAAAGGCCTTTCTCATTCTTTTAACATGCTTTTTGTAGTTGAAATTGCAATTTGAAACAGAAAATGTATTTCCGCACACTATTTTTCTTCTCTTGCACAAAAAGAAATAGGGTTGTGTTGAACAAGAAAGTAAGTGTGCGGAAATCTTGAAATTTTTTGGACATCCACCATAAAAGTAACAGAAATCACTTCATAACCTAATTAGAATGTGACAAAAACCGAAGCAAGGGCTTCTTTCAAGATGAGCAGCCTATGATTTCTGCTCAAGTCAAGGGGTCGTTTCTTCTTATATGCAAATCACAAACTAATATATATGTATAGGTAACGTATTAAAAATATGTATGAAAAAGAATCTACACAAGCGTAGAACTGTGACTGATTTGTAAATTTTAAACAAGAATAGTACAAAAAGTGAATAAAGATTAGAACTTGCACAAAACAATGGGCCATTAGCCACCATTCATTGTCATGCCTTGTTATCAAAGGAGGCAATACCAATGATTTAGAACACACAAAGCAATTGGTTAGAGCATTGTATATAATATATATGGGCGGATCTTGACATCAAATTTAACCCAACAGTCATACAATCTAAGATTTTGGTGATTTTTGGTGAATATGGTTTGTTAGGGAAAACTTAAAAGATAAGATAGTTCAGATCGTTGAAATACATTATAGATAATTCAACAAAAAAAAAAATGTAAAAAAAGTGATGCCATGAATCCAACCGTTTGTATATATAATATACAAAAGATATGGATTGCTAAACAGCTAGAGTTTAGCCAGAGAATCTTGAATTATGATGTTTCAAAGTGGACTAATATCAAAGTTTAATATATAAGGCCAAAACTCCACATGGGGCCTTACAAGTGGTTATTTATGTAAAAACAAATAATGGGGTCATATCTGTTCTGGAGGTCAGTTTTGGTGTCACGACTTCGACAAAAAGATTAGGACAAAATTACCTCTTAACCAAAAAAATTTAAAAGTAGTTCAATATAATATATCAAACAAGGTAGGGGTAATTTGGTCATTATAAAATATAAAGTGAGAAGAGAGATAAAGAATAAAAAAATGGAAGGATGAGTGAAAATTGATGGTGCTCACATGAAGGGAAAAGAAAAATATAATAAAAAATAAGAAAAATCATGAATATTGTGTTTAAAACATCTTAAAACGTGTATAATGCTGGTTATAAAAAAAGTATTTCGCATGCGAATAATAATATGATTAAATAAGTTGTCAAATGATTTTTTTAAATTTATTTATAACAAACGATATTATCTACACTAAGAGAAAAGGGGTGGGCTTAGCCTCACAATGAGCTAACAATAATGTGATTCAATCAGTTGTTTATTAAATATTATTTTATTTATAAAAAAAAGTATTTCTGTCACATCCCGATCCGGGCCCCCACCACAACCCGGGCTCGATCCACCACCGTAGCACGATATTGTCCGCTTTGGGCCCCCGACCACGCCCTCACGGTTTTGTTTCTGGGAACTCACACGAGAACTTCCCGATGGGTCACCCATCCTGGGAGTGCTCTCGCGCGCTACTCGCTTAACTTCGGAGTTCCTACGGAACCCGAAGCCAGTGAGCTCCCAAAAGGCCTCATGCTAGGTAGAGATGAGAATATTCATATAAGGATCACTCCCCTGAACGATGTGGGATGTCACAATTTCGCGCGCGGATAATAATGTAATTAAATTAATTGTCAAATGATTGTTTTTTTTAAACAAACGATATTATCTACGCTAAGGGGAAGATGGTAGGCTTAGCCTCACAATGGGTTAGCAATAATGTGATTCAATCAATTGTTTATTAAATATTATTTTCTTTATTCTTAATGTAAATTCTATAGAAATCTATTTTATTGGGTAAATTCAGCTGCTTTAATTGGTTTATCAGGGATTTCTTATAACATGATCTAAAATTAATCATTTATTTCAAATATTTGACTTTCTTTTTATCAATTTACGCATATAAAATATATTTAAAACGTGTAAGTAGCGTGTAGCACGCCGTGATCCAAAAAATGTCTCCTGCACGCGCATGCGCGCATGCATGAAGGCTAGTTATATAATAAAGAGAATGTAAAAGGTCAATGGTATTTGGTGTCACCAAGCTTCAACAAAAATGCCCCCAAGACAAAAAACTTCAAATGCATCCCAAAATAATGCATCAAATAAGGCAGAGCCATTTTCATCATTTTAATAGTAAAAATGTCATTTGCACGCGAATAATAATGTGATTGAATTAGCCTTACAATGGGCTAACAATAATGTGATTCAATTAGTTGTTTATTAAATATTATTCTCTCTATTTTAAACAAGTTCAAAACATCTTAAGAGGCGTGTAATGCCAGTTATAAAAAGGTCTTTCGCACGCGGATAATAATGTGATTAAATTAGTTGTCAAATGATTGTTTTTTATTTTATTTTAACAAACGATATTATCTACATTATAGGGAAAAGGGTGGGCTTAGCCTCACAATAGGCTAGCAATAATGTGATTCAATCAATTGTTTATTAAATATTATTTTCTATATTCTTAATGTAAATTTTATAGAAACTGATTTTATTATGTGAGTTCAGCTGCTTTAATTGGTTTATAAGAGGTTTCTTCTAGCATGATTTAAGATTATTCATTTACTTTAAATATTTCACTTTCCTTTTGACAATTTGCGCATATAAATACATTTAAAACATGTAAATCATGCGTAGCACGTTGTAATTCAAAAAATACCTTATGCACTGGCGTGAACGCGTGCATGAAGGCTAGTGTTATATAAAATGGGAATGCTAGATATTCTCCTCTTTGTTCATATACCTTTGTCAAGACTCAAGGCTCAAGTTCTGAAAATTTCAGGGGACTACATTATTGTACCGTCTTGCTAGTAGAGGTGAAATCTATTTATGTTAGTGGACTCTGTTGTTAATAACTTAATAGAAAGGTGATACAATATCATCTACCAAAATATGATATGCTTAGAATTCAGATTCGATATTCTTACTCAATAACATAAAAAAAAAAAATTAAGAATAATACTTAAGTCGTGACCAGTATGACCATTTAAATTGCATTGTTCTTACTCACTAACATGGATTAACAAGTATGTGTATATGTCCTCTTGTTTCTAAATCTCAATGACAGTTGCACTTTTTCTTTTTAATTAGAAACGATAATTTGATATTGCATTTATGAAAGCAAAACAAATAAAGAGGTATTAATTGCATACAATACTTCAGTGACCAAAAAATTATCTAATGAGTGTAGTCAAATTCAAATTTAAGAGGATTTTAAAAGACTTTAAAATCCTAGTGTAGTCAATTAAAAGATTTTAAAGGATTTTAGAATCCATTCAAATCAGGTGTAGTTAATTAAAGATTTTAGAATCCTTTAAAATGTAGGTGTAGTCAATTAAAAGATTTTAAAGGATTTTAAAATCCATCCAAATCTAAGTGTATTATAAAAATTAAGATTTTGGAGGATTTCTATAAGTTGTGGATATTGTGGGATTTGAGAGCCAAAAGTATATATAACCAAGACTAACAAGAATCCAACCTCACTCCCTAGGATTTCAAATCCTTCAACTACAATCCACCAAAATCCATTCAAATTATTTAAAAATCCATATGACTTTTGTAGAAGTCTCCAATCCTCTTAAATTCTATCAAATCTATTATTTTTTAAATCCTTTAAAATATTAGTTTGACTACACTCCATAAACATACCAATGTATATTATTGCTGGTTATAATTGAATTGTCTTTTAAGATTTATAATAAATTTTGTCTAACTTTAAGACCAGCTATTATTTCCACAAAAAAACTCATAGTTTCGAATCGAAAATCATAATTTTTTTTTTTTGGTTGGTATTTATTACAAATAACACATTTGGATATAGAAACGGATAAAAAATACGGTTGGCTTTTAGAGGATTTTTAAAAATTGTGAATTAAAAAAAAAAAAAAAACTAATAAGTGGCAAAAACAAAAGACGCCAGGAGCTCAATGTACAAGTCCTGCCTTGTCACCCTTTATCCATACAGCATTCATTATCCGACTGGATGCATGTTTTTCACGAGAAGCATTTTTCTTCACAAGTATAACTACGGTGTATGATTACTATACACTTAATTATTTGTTATGTCTTATTTTATTAAATTTTAGTTAATTTTCATATTAAATGGTAAATTTGTAATTTTGACAAAAATTAATGAAGATTAGATAAAATGACATGCGGTAGATGATGGGGTGTATCATGAGTATATACTATAGTTTTTGCCCACTTATTAGTATGTAAGTATATATGTTTTTTGAACAAATGATATTACCTACAATAAAGGGAAGGGATGAACTTAACCTCATAATGACTAGCAATAATGTGGTTCGAATTCGTCTCTGACAAGAACTGAATCTAAGAATCTTCACTTATAAGTGAAGAGGAATACCATTATACTTTAGTACTAAGTGGTAGTATATAAGCATATAAATTAACGATAAACTATGAGAGTTTATGAAGATGTTCATTTTGAGAAGTATCCTTAACATTTTTCCTCTACTTATTATAATTGGATGATTTTAAAATTTGAAAATTTAGGTCTATTCATTATACAAATTTCGAAATGTAAAATCCTCATCAATGATAGATAGATTGATAAACATTACTGTCACCGACCAGTAAATAAAAATATTCTCTTATCCGTTTAGCAAGATTACTACAGAATAACAATAAATAATGAATAAATAAAAAATATTAAAAAAATGCAAAAAATTAAAATTAAAATTTGCAAAAAAAGATAGGCCTGGTCTTTTGCTCCCTCTTGTTCTTCACTTTTGGTTTTGTTTTTGTTCACTTCTTCCTCCTCCTCCTCTATCCGCAACCAATTCCTCTCGCTCCCAAATGAAACGTAGATTCTGTCCAAAACCATCATCAAATCTGCAGGCTTTCTCTGAATCGGGCACCCCTTTTCTGTTTTGCGCACCCGCTTACCGTTTCATATGGCTTTCAATCCGTTTCTGCCATGCAAAAGTTGGCTCTCTGCACTCTGAAGGGTCGACGAGAAGCAAAAAGTGGAGGGATTTGAAGCTGATTGGAGAAAAATGGAGCAGCCCATAATGCGCGCATAGGGTTTCCGGCGTTTCGGATTCAACAGTCGGTGCACCGCTTGTATTCGGATCTCATCCGGTTGGTCCACGGTGCTGTATGGTGTAGTTCTTTTACTGTATGATGTTTTGTGGAATAGTTTAATCGGTTTTTGCTAAATTTGGAAGAAAGTTTGTGCTTTTTTTGTATGTTTATGTCTGTAACGGTGGTTGTGGATTGAAGTTTGGCGGTTCTATACATAGGAACTGAGATAATTTTGAAGTTTTGTAAGTAATGTTGTCTGCGAGTGATCCAATTGAATCGTTTTTCAATTCGATTCAGCTGGTTAAGGAAAGGCTGTCGCCACTCGAATTGGGCATTCGAAAAGCGGCCAAGGACTTCGAGTGTTGCTGGGCAGGGCATAAGAATGAGGTAAACGCTGCTGAATTTATTACTCAATTCAGTGGTGGTGATAACAATGGTAAAGTTAAGATCTTTGGGGGAAAGAAGAAAGCTGGTGAGTGTGTCGCAGTTGGTGAGGAGAGAAAGAAGGAATGTTGGTTAAGGTTCCGATAAAAGCGTTATTTGGGAAGTTTTCGCCAAATTCGGGGAATGGAAATCGACCTGAGGTGTCGGATAGTGGGTTGAGAGAGAAGGATTGTGACAAGGAGGATGGGTCTTGTGTGAACTGCATGCAGTTTGCCGTCACTTGGTCTGTGTTAGTTAATAGTTTTGTTCAGGCATTTCCAGGTCCGTTCAAATTGGGTAAGAAGCGGCTCCAGAAAATGAGCAACGACGACAAAGTGTGTTCTTGTAAAAAGCCAAAGGTTTCGGGTGACTTGAAACAGAGGGAGTCTAAGGAACAGAGTGTTAAAATGATTCAGAATGAAGCCGTGTCACATAAAGAAGGAAAACATGTATCACTAGAATGCCTTATTGGTTTTGTTTTTGATCAACTTACCCAGAATCTTCTGAGGTTTGATCAGGGTGTTCAAGAGAGTGATTGTAATATTTGTGACACTTCCAGAGAGCCGCCTTCTTCCTCTCAAAATGATCATTTCAGGGTGATCACTGGTTTGTTTGAAGGTCAAAAAGCAGATGTAAATGGGTTGTGGGGAAACTTGAAGTTTGCTAGAGTTGGAGGAGTGCCATCAGGCGTTGTTGGAGTATCCTCTTCAGTTAATGAAGAAGGTGATGAGGATGTTACTGCAAGTAACCGGGCAGAATCAGCTGGCAATTCACCACAGAAGCTTGCTAGTGATTTACTTAGTATTCCACTATCAAATGTAGAGCGTTTGAGATCCACGTTATCCACCGTTTCATTGGCCGAACTAATTGAACTTGTGCCTCAGCTGGGGAGACCTGCCAAAGACTATCCTGACAAGAAGAAGCTATTCTCCGTCCAAGATTTCTTTAGATACACAGAGTCTGAAGGTACACTGTCTTTGGTAACTTTGGGACTTAATGCTGATTGTGGAAATGAATTTTGTTTTGCCTAGAAATTAATGCTTGTTTTTGTCTTTTTCTGAATTGAATTTGTAATATACAAGCTATACGAAGATGTTAACTTGTTCATTTCCATATCTGTCCTTATTATCGAAGGAGCCTTTATTTTGTCCACTGCCCACTTTCACCCCACTTTGCTCTATGTAACTGATGCATCTGATGCACCGGATCAGCTGAGCTTACCATTGGCTAGGATTTATTGGTAAACAAACGAAGATATTTCCCTGTTGTATATTACATGCATAAATAATCACGTAGTCAGGCCGTTTCTTACTGAGTCCCGTCTAAGAATTTATTTATTTTCCACTCATAGTAAATAAGCATATATGTGTTTCTGTATTGGTGTTCTGTGAAAAATTTAGCTATAAGATACTTTGACACAGTTTCTTTAGTGAGAAGATGTGTTTTAAAGTTACAAATTGATTGATTCAAGATGTTGCTGACTTGTAAGTTTAAGATAATTTGTCTGAGGATGATCTTGTCAATGCATTGCTAGTCATAAAAGAAAATAAGGTAGTAAGAAACCTGCCTGATACAAATCTAAGAGAAGTCTATTTTCAACTTTGTCGAATTCATATGAGCTTTGCATGGGACAAAATAGATTTTCACATGATACGAGCTCCATAAGTGAAGGCCATCACAACCTGTCCATCCAATATCTTACTTAGGAATAATTGTCAGGGCATCAACTATCATGAAAGTACGTAGAGCATTGATGGATCCAGATATACGGTATGATAATTAAGGATGTGTTAATATTTGTCTGAACTTCTGAGAATGCCAACAAAATGCTTACACTTTTCAAGTGATGCAAAGAACATAGCGTCCATAAACTTCCATTGGCACATTTGAGTGAGAGAGAAAGTAATTATCACTCATCTTTACCTAATTGCTATAATTCATGGTAGTGATGAGCTCCTAAATAATTTGTTTATTTTGCCTCATCGAATACATTCTTTTGCATGTAAATTCTTTAATTAACACATTTTACACCATGAATGTGTCTAGGAAGGAGATTCTTTGAAGAACTGGATAGAGACAGTGATGGGCAAGTCACTCTGGAAGATCTCGAAATTGCAATACGAAAGAGAAAATTGCCACGGAGATATGCTCATGAGTTTATGCGTCGTACTAGAAGTCACATATTTTCAAAATCATTTGGTTGGAAACAGTTTTTATCCTTCATGGAGCAGAAGGAACCAACCATTCTGCGAGCATATACCTCTCTATGCCTGAGCAAGTCTGGAACACTGCAGAAAAGCGAAGTATTGGCCTCACTTAAAAATGCAGGACTTCCAGCTAATGAAGATAATGCTGTTGCTATGATGCGATTTCTCAATGCTGATACAGAAGGATCTATTTCATATGGACATTTTAGGAATTTTATGCTCTTACTCCCTTCTGACCGACTTCAAGATGATCCTCGGTAAGATGTATTTCTCATTCAATTAGTTTCCTTTATAAGTTCAGCTGATGTCAGACTGGTTTTTCTGTTGAAAACGTTCCATGGTTCGTTCTGCTTTTTCTGGTTCTGAAATGGCAACTGTTCCATTATTGGTAATTGATACATTTATGTGGAGAATGAACTTTTCAATGAATTAGGAGTAAAGCAGAATTAATTGAAATTCAGAAATAATATCCATGTGTATATATTTAAGAAATTACCAGTTAGCTAGTGCCTAGTGTACACAAGTTAATGGGATACTCCTAGCTGACAGTAACTTCCTTCAAAATACATACAGGAGTATCTGGTTTGAAGCTGCAACCGTTGTTGCTGTTGCACCACCAGTGGAAATACCTGCTGGAAGCGTACTAAGATCTGCATTGGCAGGGGGCCTTGCTTGTGCTCTATCTACTTCTTTAATGCACCCAGTTGATACAATTAAGGCAAATTCTTTGTCATAGGAACTTGTACTCATGTACTCGGAGTTAAAAATTTCTGTAATTGGTGATGCTTCTCTTTGGTCTTCTATCCTAAAATGCATCATTTCTTTATGTTTGGCAGACTCGAGTACAAGCATCAACATTATCGTTCCCCGAAATTATTTCAAAGCTTCCGCAGATTGGAGTGCGGGGATTATACAGGGGCTCAATTCCTGCAATTCTTGGACAGTTTTCAAGGTTTTTTTTTTTTTTGGCCCCCTTCCCAACCATAACAGTATCATGATGAATCAGCTATTTTAGCTAAACTTTGTGTAATTCTCCACTTTCTGGCTGATTTTTTATTGTCACATTTCAGTCATGGCCTGCGAACTGGGATTTTTGAGGCAAGTAAACTTGTGTTGATAAATGTTTCTCCTACGCTCCCAGATATACAGGTAATGATTGTTATTCTAATCTTATGTTTTTTTTTTTTTTTTACCTCTCTCCCTTTAGGTACTAGCATCATACTTCCATCATGCCTCTGAAAAGACATTAATATCTATTTAAACGAATGCAAGTTCATTTTGTCTGTTCATTTTTTCCATTCGTACTAATGATATCAAATTATAGTTTATTTGTACATCTCCACAATTCTCAAGAAGGCTTCATCTACTTAATATTATTGCTTTTCCATCTTAAGTAAGAACGGCTTCTTAAAAAAGTAATTAACTATCCTACTTTGTAGTCTGAGAAAAGTTAAGTATTATGTCTTTTACATTTTTTCTTCTTTGTATGGATTACAACTATATCAGATAGTATGATGTTCGCTACCCAAAGTAAAAAAATGTAATAAGTATGGCTCTGTTAGAGCAGCTTCAACCGGTAGTTTCCCCATCCTTATCCAAACCTTAGTACCCTTTGAAAATGGTTCTCATGCTGCTGCTGGCTTGCTCCCCCCACCTCCCTCTTCATTCCCCCTTACGGGCATATGCTATGCAGCCTATGCCCAACCAAAACAATTGAATTTGAAGTGTGTTGTAGACTGTAGTTGAAAGAAGGGAAATATGAATTTGAGGTGGGTGGTAGTGGGTCTGTCTCTGTCGTGAGCGACTCTTTTTCTGTTAATGCTGTTTTGAAACATGATAAAATCTATTTTCCGGCATCTCAACAGGTTCAATCTCTAGCATCATTCTGTAGTACATTTTTGGGAACAGCAGTGCGAATTCCTTGTGAGGTGTTAAAGCAGCGGTGTCAGGCTGGCCTTTTTGACAATGTTGGGGAGGCTCTTGTGGGCACTTGGAACCAAGATGGTCTTAAGGGTTTCTTTCGTGGGACTGGTGCAACTCTTTGCCGTGAAGTTCCATTTTATGTCGCTGGCATGGGGCTGTATGCTGAATCAAAAAAGGTACAGTATTTTCATAAGCAACCTTCCTTTCTAGCCACAAAATGTATCTTGCTCTCATATTCTAAGATCAGGGTTGTTTAACCTTGCCATGAAGCCTGCTACTCAAATTGCTCAAGTTGCATCCCTAATATACGAATAAAAAAGTTTCAAAATTCATTTTGGGAGAAGGCAAAGTTTGGCTACATTATGCTTATCTTTTTGATACAACTACCTAGTATAACTGGAAAAGGAAGATTGTGAAATGTAATATGACTTGACAGTGACACAACTGATGCCCAAATATGAGTTACCATGGCATTTTGTGGCGACGACGATAGCTAACAGCTGTGCATTAATGCCATGAGTTCCGGGTTTTGTCTTCTAAAGTGTTGTTCCACTGCAAAATCCTGTTCTTCATATCAACAAGAAATTCTTTATTTTAATAAGCTCACTTTGTTTTGAGTGTAAATAATGTAATATATTGCTGGATTTGTTTTCATGAGTTGACTGTTTTGCTGTTTCAGGCTGCCCAGCAATTTTTGGGGCGGGATTTGGAACCTTGGGAAACAATTGCAGTTGGGGCTTTATCTGGCGGGTTAGCAGCCGTTGTCACCACTCCCTTTGATGTGATGAAAACAAGAATGATGACCGCTCCACAGGGTCGACCTGTATCAATGTCAATAGTGGCCATCTCTATTCTACGCCACGAGGGACCGCTTGGCTTATTCAAAGGAGCGCTACCAAGGTTCTTTTGGATTGCTCCGTTGGGTGCCATGAACTTTGCTGGCTATGAGCTTGCTAGGAAGGCGATGGACAAAAACGAGGACATAAACAGCGAGCAGCTCCAACAAAAGAAGGTGGTCGGTAGTGGATAAGCGCTTTTTTCTTTGAAGTAATGAGATTACTATCAACCGATTCATCTCCCAGTTATTTGAAATTAAAGCAATTATATGCTGCCGGAAAATTTTGACATTCTTTCCGAATTTACTAGCAGCATTTGCTTGAAATTTCCATCAGTCGACATACCTACCTTCTCGTTTTTGGGGTCAGAAATTGTAATTCCTCTGGTTGTCTTTTGAACTTTTCTGGTCTTCCGGCGATGACCGTGAAAGTACCGATGACGTTATTCTGTACTTAATGGATTATTCACAGTTTTGTACGATCTCTGCAGTTAGTACGTTCCTTCTCTCTTTGATTTTACATTTAACCAGAACGTCTAAATGTACATGCCGTCTTCCATAAATGATGGTTTTCTTTTAATGCTCTGTTTCCTTTTGTACGGACGAGCAACGTATATTATACATTTGTATGCCCGGGAGCAAACCCCGGGCTAAGGGGAATGTATACTATACATTGATGCGTGGCCTAGGCGACAATGCAAAGGATTACTAACGTCTCCTCTTGAGAAAAGCAGTACGGCTGAACCTATATTGTCACGTCTTCACGCGATTATAGGCACGGAGAGAGCTTTAAGGTTTCCGGCATAAAATTGAACCGGAATCAGGCTCTACAAGAGCCTCCCCTTACAAATCCGATGGAATACAAAGAAATCGATGAAAACTATATTCGACTCATTTGTAATTGGGGAAACATTGAATACATAACACAACTCTGGATACAACAGAAGCATTCCACAATCCGGATGCTGCCGTTATGTAAATGTAACGAGACGGATTTGCCTACTGGGGAACAAGCCCTCTTGAAGGGTTGCTGTTGAAGCTCAAATTCGTCAAACTGAAAGGAACCAGATTACAAAGAAACTCAATTTGGTTATCCTTATTATTAAACAAAAAGGGGATAAATATGACGCGACGCGTTCCAGAAATATTGCCAAACATTGAAACCTTGGATGTCATCAATAGCCCCAGTTGTCATTTCGGATTTCATCGTCGAATTTCTTCTTCAGCTCTGGATGCTTCTCAAAGTACTCATCTGCAGTCATGGTGCTTATCTTTTTCTGTTGACAAAAAACAAAACAAAAAAAATTGCAGTGAGAAATTGTACATTCGACAAGCACAAGGTTAGCACGGGACTATTTCTATCCAATACCTTCAACTCTTGCACTTCAACTATCTCCTTCTCCAAACGCTCAGACTCCTTCAAAGACTTTTCCTCTGCTTCTTTTAGTTCCACCAACTGTACCGCACAACAAAATATAAAGCACCCATAAAGTTAAAAATGAAGGATAGATGGAGAGAGTTAGACAGAGACAACAGGAGAGAGAGAAAGAAAGAACTAACCAATTGATCAAATTTAGGCTTGTACTGAGGAGTGACAGTGTCTACGTACTTGGGGATTTCAACGCCTGCAAAAATTTCGTTGTTTTGTCTTTAGAGAAAGAAAAGATACACGAGACATGATAATTAGGTAAGAAAACTTAACAAGGCTCTCTCTCTCTCTCTCTCTCTCTGCTCTCTCTCTCTGTCTCTCTATAAATCAAGATGAGACCTTCAGTTCTGTACAGGTCATTAGACTCAATGACTTGCTTTTATTAGTCAAAATAGCTTAACTAAAACTCTTTTAGGAGGTGGGTGGATACAACACACCATTCTTATCAACTCAGTTAACTACACAAGTTTGATAAGGCTCGTCTCATCAAGGAAGGGTTTCTGATCTATTGTTAACCAAGCATAAACATTAAGGAAGTTCGTAGCAAGTAAAGTGTCAGAGAACAAAAAACTTAATTTCAACAATAGCAATAAAGCATCCTATTATTAGGCGCAAGTATTTCACAAAAGACTGCAAGACAACCACATCGTTATCAGATACCAAAGCCCAAGTTTTCAGCTCAAACCAGAATACTCGCATGATACAGAATACTCGCATGATACAAGACAAAAAACTCCCACCACAGCAGACCTACGTAATCAGTATATAAGTGCAACCGCAACTAGTGTAATACATGACAGATTCATGGACGCATTATGCTAGTGGGATGCATTCATTAATCAAGTCAGAAAACATACTGTCATAAGCCTCTTTGTACATATCCACCAAGCGAGACCCGATTCCTTTCCTGTAGTACTCCCAGTCTATGGGTTCAGGCTCCTGCATACCAATGAAAATTGGGAATCAGAAAATTGAATGAAAATCATTACAGGAATGTCAACAAGTGAAATTAATGCAACCATAGATGCAATAGAAATCTTCAAAATAACACAATTGTGTAAAAATCCATACATAACTTCCATTTCGCCGCAATTTCCCATATAACTAGGTGTTATACACAAAATTTCCAATCCAAATTACCCGAGGCCATCGACTCAAATCAAATTTAACAGCTTAAAAGGCTTACACCAATAATCCAAATCAGTACTCAGCGTAAAAGTAATGAAATTTGACAAAACCGAACCGACCCATTTTACAAATCAACCAAATAACACAGGGAAAACAAACAAAAATCTCTAATTTAACGAAGTACAATCCAGATGAATAAACTTAGAAATGAAGCAAAAAAAAAAAAAAAAAACAGCTAGAAGTCGCAGAGATCTAAAAAAAAATGTAAGCGATTGAGAGATGGGTTCGTAGGGACCTGGCTGAACTTGGTCTGGAGGGTAGTGTTGACCTCGTCGAAGGCGCGACGAAGAGAGGAGAACTCTTTGCGAGCCTCATCGGAGACCAGGAGCTTGGCCATGCCCTCCCAGTCGATGTTCCTCGAGGCCTTGAAGGCCACATCGGCCACTTTCTTCCCGGCGCCGCTCATTTTCTCTCTCGCTTTCTCGCTGGCCAAACAAATGCGGAATCAGACGATCAGATGCCCCTCTTGTTGCTGCTGCTGCTGCTTCAGCCGAAGGGAAACGCGCTACTGTCTATAGTGCCTGGACCGCTGGTGGCTTTTGGGGTTGGAGTTACAGGTCATGGGCTTTGCTTCTTGTTATTTGGGCCTGGTGGCTTAGTTATGGTTGTGGTTGGTCGGTGATTAATTGGGCTTCTGAGCCCAAATTATTTTACTATATGTTTGACCAAAAAAGTAGATGGGACCTACCAGGACCCATAAACATGATTGACCCTCTAGATTTTTTTATATTAAGGTTCTCTAGATTGTGGTTGTAAACAAATTGGTTAGAGTATATGTGGTTTCGATATTAATCTAGTTCAAATCCTTTTTCTGTAGTCCTAGAGGTAGAATATCCCTTGTTTGAAAAAAGAAGATGGTAAGCTTGAGTTTTTACATGTAAGTTATTTATTCTCATCTGTAAATCAGTACAGAAATACAAAAACAACTTATTAATCATAGAAATCACTATTACTAAGATCTAATGTTATTCCTCCCAAGTTGTATTTGACAGGAAGAAAATAAAATAAAAACAGCTAAGAGAAAACCTAGATGATTGATGGCATGTAGAATATAATTCCTTGTATTGATGTGTGTAAAATTTTCTAAATTATATAGGATTATGTTAATCCCTATCAATACATGGGACAGTCACAGAGAAGACTCTGGGTCAATTAAATCTATTTTGACAAGTTGTTAGGTTAGATTCTCTCTTATTTGCTTAGTCATACCAAATTATGACAAACTCACCGTGCTGATCCCAAATTCTTCCACCACCAAGTTTTTTTCTATTAAATTGGTGACTCTAAGTCATAATATTGATCTTGATCTTTGGCGACTCGAAGCACAAGGCAAGCCAATAGTCGGTCATCAAATTGGGGTGCCCGTCATCCAACGACTACTTCAACACATCCCACCCCACCAAGCCCCCTTGTTCCTTCAACGTAAAGTTCTTAATTAGCAGTGTGTTCTGGCAAGTAAACATTGGCCGTACATAGTGTCTCAATCTTTCAGTCTCATCAGTCACGACAAAGGGTAAGTGAGAAAGAAGGTAGACGGAAGTTACCATGATTCATGAAGGTTGGACTGAAAACAAGACTTTATATATTATACAAAGCGTTATTTGGAACGATTGGATGTAAAGCGTATGAAAATGGTTTTTTGAGCTTGACCTTAAGGGCCTGGGCTCAAACTACAAAGTATCAACGAAAGGGACCCTTAAAAGTAAAAATACTATCGAATTGTAAACATATAAAGATGGTTGTACAGTTGTAGTTGACTCAAAAAATGTATATTTTGAGCGCTTTAAATCTAATTTCCACGTTAAAAAAAAAAATGTACAAGAGAAATGCATGATAATAGATTCTGAGTAATTAAGGAACGAATACTATAAGAGTCAAAATGTTAATTATAGGGTTTCTTGTAATCATATAATCTAGATTGTATAGCCTACAATGTAAATTTACACATATGCTTCCTCATGAAGAAGAGAAACACAATACAAAAAGGATAGTGTTATTCACACACTCATTTTTACCTCTCATACACCCTTGCTTATTTTTGGCCACTAATCTTCTTCAATTCGTTCAATCCGACTAGAAAATTGAGAAATGTATGTGAGAAATAAAAATGGATGTGTGGATAACGCTACTCTTCAAAAATTCCCACAATCTATAGCACGGAATAGTAACATTGATCTTCTTAATTGCTAGAGGCCTTGAAGTTTCATAAGTGATCGTTGACCCTAAGATGAACTCAACCCGAAAGAAAAATATGTGCTAGTAGCGTTTGAACTGTGGACCAAAATAAATTTCTTGAACGACGTTGGGACAGCCGGGAATTAAGGTACTAGACTTTGAATAATGGAGGGGTGGTCTTCCTTAATTCCTAGCTTATAACTATCCTTCCTAGTCTCTTCTCTCGACCACCACAAGACCGACTATGTATATTTTATATTCCTAAACTGGTTATCTGGTTCACGTTTCTAGCTAGTGACTGTCGACAACATTGGAGTGCAATGCGGTACATTGACACAGGAAACCTAGCATAACTTTAGTTCAACTAGGACCAATCATGAGAGAGATCATATTTTTCTACGAAATATTATCCGAAAGTCTAACACATTCTTGTGTACGGTTGTCTCAGTTCTCACAAGATACGAGTTGAGAATGTGGATGTGTGTTCTTTACCTACTCTAATGCTAACTTCTTGTGAAAGAAACGATGCTTGCGTCAGTGCTGATTCTATACAAGAGGTTTTTTTCCCCAATAACGGTTGTAAGTCTCTTGAAATAGTAAGAGCCAGTTATGTAAAATGGAATATTACATCATCACGTTCGTGGATATGTAAAATGGAAATGTAATATTACATCATTCATTTGGGAGAAA